TCCAAAATTATTCGCTTAGGGGTGCCATGCAGCCGGTAGATATGTTTCAGGAACAATTTGGTCAGTCGGGCAGATGGGAGTCCTTTGCAGGCGATGAAATGAGCCTGCTTTGAGAATAGGTTTATTACAGTCCAGATGACAGTGTGTCCACTACTTTCAGGTAGGTCTACTATAAAGTCCATAGCTATTTCTTCCCATGGTTGAGAAGGGTCTGCCACGGGTTGCAGTAACCCAGGGGTTTTCCCTGGAATTCTTTTCATTGTGGCACATACAGTACAACATTTTACATAGTTTTCCACATCCTTTTTCAGCCCCGGTCACCAAAATTGCCAGCGGGTGAGGTGTAGGGTTTTCAAATATCCAAAGTGTCCAGCCTGTTTTACATCATGGCTGTGTTTGAGAGCATTAAGATGGAGGGTTTCTGGCAAATATAGTTTCCCCCCTTTGTAAGCCAAGCCATCCCTGCACGTTAGGGAGGGTTGATTATCTTTGAACCATTGATCGGTGAGGAGCTCTCGTTTTATTTTGTTTACCCCAGGGTCATCAGGATTGGGGACCCTGCGAGGCGTGAGTTCAGCAGCAGTTTGTGGATTGGGGATAATTGCCGTCGTTAACCTCCTCCTGTTTGCTTTTGTATTGGGGTAACCGGGATAGCGCATCAGCTAGGAAGTTTTTTCCTCCTGGTATGTACTTTAGAGTGAAGTTGAAGCGGTTAAAGTACTGTGCCCACCGCACTTGCTTTGGGGACAATTTGCGGGGAGTTTTCAGTGCTTCTATATTTTTGTGATCTGTCCATACTTCAAAGAGCACCTTGCTCCCTTCTAGATAGTGTCGCCAGTTTAATAGCGCCCACCTAATCGCGAAGGCCTCTTTCTCCCAGATTGCCCATCTCCGCTCGCTTTCAGTAAATTTCTTAGAGGTGTAGGCGCAGGGTTGCAGGACCCCACTTTTGTTCTTTTGTAGTAACACAGCTCCGACTGCCACATCGCTGGCATCGGCTTGAATCACAAAGGGCTCCCCTGGGCAGGGGTGCTTTAGGACCAGTTCAGCAGCAAATAGTCTCTTTAAATTCTCAAAAGCTGTTTGACAGCCCATCGTCCATGCTAGTGGTTGGCCCGGTCATGGCTTCCCTCCTCCTTTGCCTGTTTTGAGTAGTTCTGTAAGGGGTAGGGCAATCTCGGCAAAAGGGGATGAATTGACGATAAAAGTTGGCAAAACCCAGAAAGCTCTGGAGCTGTTTGCAAGTCGTTGGGGGCTGCCATTTGATTATAGCTCTCACCTTGGCTGGATCCATTTCAATACCCTCGTTGGAAATTCTGTAGCCAAGATAATCTAATCGGGTCTGGTGAAATTCACATTTTGACAATTTGGCATAAAGCTTGGCATTCAATAGTTTCTTTAACACTTCTCTCACCAGCTTTATGTGATCAGTAATATTCGTGCTGTATATCAAGATATCATCAAGATACACCAAAACCCCTTTGTACAAGTGATCATGTAGGACCTCATTAATCAACTGCATGAATACGGCTGGGGCCCCCTGTTGTCCAAATGGCATGACTCTGAACTGATAGCTCCCCATAGGACAGTGGAAGGCAGTTTTCCACTCGTCTCCCTCTTTTATTCTCACCCGGTAATATGCCTCTCAGGTCTAATTTAGTGAAGACACTCCCCTTAGCCAGATGGGTTAATAAGTCCTTTAGGAGGGGGAGGGGATATTTATTTTCCACACTCACAGCGTTGACACCCTTATAGTCTATGCAGAGACGAAGAGATCCATCTTTTTTCTCTTTGAACAACACAGGGGCTCCCACGGTAGATTTGGCCCATTCAATGAACCCCCTCGCTAGGTTTTTATTCACGTATCGCTGCATCTCCTCCATTTTGAGGGGGGACATAGCATACATTCTCGGCCGTGGGAGTTTGGCTCCTGGCACGTTTGATGGAGCAGTCATTGGGTCTGTGAGGGGGTAGGGCATCACATTCTTTTTCACTAAATGCCTCCGCCAGGTCCCAGTATTCATTGGGGATGAGTGGTTTGCCTGGCGGCGGTGAGGCAGCCATGTGCGCTCGCTCATTGGGTGGCCTAAGGTGTCTCGCAACATTGGTTGAATCAGTGGGAGGTTTAGGCCCTATAGGTAGTCTCACAGTTCTCATTCCTTTCTCCCACCAGATAAATGGCTTCCATTTGTCCAACCAGGCTAGCCCTAGGATCACAGTCTCAGTCATTTTTGGAGCCACTAGGAAGCGAATAAACTCCCAGTGCGCACCTATTTCTAGTCGTAAGGGCTCAGTTACTTGTGTGACAAGAGTGCCTCCCATCAGGGAGCCATCGGCTTGCTCAAACCTCACAGGTTTGGAAAGCTGTTTTGCCCGTATGCCCATTTTCATGGCAAATGGCAGACTAATAATGCAGCGGGTGCATCCAGAATCAATTAGCACGTTTAAGTCCATTTGTGCCCCAGACTTAGGGATTATAAGTTTGGCGGCCAGTGAAAAAGTCAGGATTTGTCGACTCACCATTGGGTCGTTCTCTCCTTCATTGTCGCTGTCAAAGGAGGGTAGAGCAGGGGCGGGTCCACCCTGAGTCCTGGCATCCTCTTGTGTGGGGGGTGTAATCTGGGCAACATGTTCTTGTGTGACCCGGTTGGATTTTTCTCTCGTTAGCCGCTGAGCAGGTTTCTTTCTCGTCGCTGGTTCCGGTCTGCTCTGCAGTCGGGGGTAGGGGACTGGACAGGTTGCCGCTCGATGTCCCTCTTGTCCACACCGAAAACACTTATTTGATGGGCCTGCAGGTGGTCTGGGTCTCTCAGCCATCACAGTAGTTGGAGGTTTTCGTGGGGACATCATGCGAAGATCCGCAAATCTTTTAAACCAATTACGAGGTCCCGGACCTCGGTCACTATTCCTAATCTAAAGGAGATAGATGACAAAGATGTCAACGCTGCTAATATTGAATATTCTTGCTTTGACAAAATATGCAGAACTGTCTGGTATTTTTAGAGTTAATTCAGATGACAGAGAAAAGGGAGGAGATTAGTAAGAAAGCCCGGGAAATGAACGGAAGTGAATCTTTGCCCTCCAAGTTAATTGGAAGATTTGAATCATGACCCCAAAATAGGGGAGGGGAAATGCCTGGAATGTTATGTGCAAAGGGAAGGGAAATTCAGATCTTGGCATGATGTCATGTGTCTGACTAATGAAACACTTCAAAGAACTTTCAGGCATGATTTTACCTAAAAAAGCCTTTATTAGTGTAGAGACGTGTCAGCAGGGCATGATGGATGCCAAGATCTGAATTTCCCTTCCCTTTGCACATAAAATTCCAGGCATTTCCCCTCCCCTATTTTGGGGTCATGATTCACATCTTCCAATTAACTTGGAGGGCAAAGATTCACTTCTGTTCATTTCCCGGGCTTTCTTACTAATCTCCTCCCTTTTCTCTGTCATCTGAATTAACTCTAAAAATACCAGACAGTTCAGCATATTTTGTCAAAGCAAGAATATTCAATATTAGCAGCGTTGACACCAGTGGTGGGTGCAAAGGAAAGCAGCAGACTGACAGGGGTTAGTGGAGGCACTACTAACCAGCCATGTGCCTGCGGTCAGGAAAGTGAAAGTGGAAACTGTTGATTCCAGAGGAATACCTTGACCTAGTGGAGGTCTTTAGCGAGCGAGAATCAGACACACTCCCCCCTCACCGCCCCACATACTGTGCAATTGAGAGTATGACGTGAACCAAATTGTCCAAGCCAAAGATATATTTGATGACACCCGAAAAGATAGGGGAACTCTGAGCATTTATAGACGAGAACCTAGCTAGGGGTTTTATTCAGCTGGCAAAGTCGAGGATGGCAACTCCAGTACTGTTTAAAGAGAAGACAGATGGGTCCCTTAGACCGTGCATGGATTACAGAGGTCTGAACTGCATCAGCGTAGAGAACATATACCCCCTCCCGCTAATGAGGGACATGCTAGGATATCTAGCGAAGGGCAGGATCTTCACCAAACTGGACCTTAGGGACGCATACTACAGAGTGAGGATCAAGGAGGGAGATGAATGGAAGATGGCATTTAATTGCCCCTTGGGCTGCTACCAGTTCAGGGTGATGTCATTTGGCCTGCAGGGGGTGCTGGCCATGTTCATGCAGTTAATCAACGAAGTTCTGCATGAGCACCTGTACAAAGGGGTCTTGGTGTGCCTGGACAATATACTGATTTACACCAAGACCCCAGAGGATCTCGTGAAACTGGTCAGGGGTGTGCTCAAAAAATTGCGAGAGGCCCAGTTCTATGCAAAGCTATCCAAGTGTGACTTTCATAAAACCAGCTTAGACTACTTGGGGTACTGAATCTCGAGAGAAGGGGTGGAGATGGATCCTGGCAAGGTGAAGGCAATACTGGAGTGGGAGGCCCCCTGAACCAGGAGGCAGCTGCAGAGTTTTCTCAGTTTTGCGCCTCTGGAGAACTGCAACCCTGCATCTACATGTCCTGCAAGCTTTCTGACTCCGAGACGTGCTGGGCCATCTGGGAGAAGGAAGCCTAGGCGGTCTGGTGGGCTCTCTTAACCTGGAGACAGTTCTTGGAAGGCAGTAAAATACCCTTCGAGCTGTGGACAGATCACAAAAACCTAGAAGCGTTGAAGACCCCATGGAAGCTGTCCCCTAAACAGGTCTGGTGGGCTCAATATTTCAATCACTTCAACTTCACCCTCCGATACCTACTGGGCGGGGGGGGGGACTTTTTGGCAGATGCTCTCTCCCTCATGCCACAGTACAACAGTGCCTGGGAGGAAGTCGTCAACTCCATCATCCCATCCAAACAGTTTGTGGTGCCTGTAGCTATGAGGCAACAGAGAGCACCCCTCCTGCACCCAACCCCAGACCTGGTACAACCACTGAGGGAGGCCCTGGAGGGCGACGACTAGTTTCAGCAGCACAAAGTAAAGCTGGTGTTAAAAGAGGGACTGGCATGGAAGGGGAGTAAAATCTACGTTCCAGCTAGACAAAGGACTTTAATCCTACAGTGGAGTCATGACACAAAGGTGGCGGGGCATTTTGGATTCATAAAAACTCTCCACCTGGTGAAAAGACAGGTTTGGTGGCCAAGGATGAAAAAGGACATAGAGGCGTATGTGGCCAGCTGTCTTGTATGTGCCTCAATGAAACGATTGCCTGGGAAGCCCCCGGGATTGCTACAGCCAGTAGCCAACTCACAAGCTTGTGGAAAGAAATCTCTATGGACTTTATTGTAGAGCTGCCAGAAAGTGCTGGGAACACTGTGATTTGGACTGTCACTGATTTGTTCTCTAACATCTAAGGCAGTGTTTCTCAATGTCAGCAACTTTAAGATGTGTGGACTTCAACTCACAGAATTCCCCAGCCAGCATGAGGATGAGAAACACTGATGTAAGGGACAACAGATTAAGAAGGCTAGATTGTAGACAGAGGCGTAGCGTGGGGGGTGCAGGGGGGGCCGGCCGCACCGGGCGCAACATCTGGGGGGGCGCGCTCGCACTCGCAGCTCTCTGCCCCTGCCTGGCTCACTCACTCTCTCTGCAGTGCTGGCTGTGCGAATCTGATCCGAGCCGCCGGGTTGCCGACACCGCCCACTGTGGAGGGGGGCGCAAATTACTTGCCCCGGGTGCTGACAACCCACGCTACGCCACTGATTGTAGATATCAATGCCACTGTATGCATTTTGTAGCAATAGTGGCATGGTGGAGGAGGAGTCCTAAGAAAATATTTCCAGGCACAAAAGCAAGAAAAAAGAATAAAACTGAGTATTACTAATCTAAGATTGTCCACTATCCTAGTGGACAATCACTTAAATATGAGCCAGCAGTATGCTGCAGCTGCCAAAAAAGCCAACACAGTTCTAGGTTGCATTAACAGAAGGATAGAATCAAGATCACATGAAGTGTTAATACCACTTTATAATGCCTTGCTAATGCCATACTTGGAATACTGCATCCGGTTTTGGTCACCACGATGTAAAAAAGATGTTGAGACTCTAGAAAGAGTACAGAGAAGAGCAACAAAGATGATCAGGGGACTGGAAGCTAAAACATATAAAGAACGGTTGCTGGAATTGGGTATGTCTAGTTTAATGAAAAGAAGGACTAGGGGTGACATGATAGCAGTGTTCCAATATCTCAGGGGCTGCCACAAAGAGGAGGGAGTCAGGCTATTCTCCAAGGCACCTGAGGGCAGGACAAGAGGCAATAGATGGAAGTTAATCAAGGAGAGAAGCAACCTAGAACTAAGGAGAAATTTCCTGATAGTTAGAACAATTAACCAGTGGAACAACTTGCCTCCAGAAGTTGTGAATGCTCCAACACTTGACGTTTTTAAGAAGAGATTGGACAACCATTTGTCTGAAATGGTATAGGGTTTCCTGCCTGAGCAGGGGGTTGGACTAGAAGACCTCCCAGGTCCCTTCCAACTCTGTCTATTCTATTCTATTCTATTCTATTCTGTTCTATTCTATTCTATTCTATTCTATTCTATTATTATTATGAACAACATAAAATTAGTTCTGGGTCAATTGTGACAGTGGTTGGTGCTTACAGAGTTTACATATTTACTGGGGAGCCACTACACATACTGTAGAAACACTCATCAAAGCAGGTATTTTGGTACTTGTCATCAGAGTGCTATCCGATGTACATTTTTCTTAGCGATATGAAATCATAGCATAGCATGTGTGGCTTGCTCTCTGCCTTTGGCAGTTAAGGGTCAATGCACAAAGCCATCATTCCAAAGTAGGCAAGTCCTGAACATATGCAAATGTCCAAAACTTAATCCTGATCTTTGTTTAATATATTTCCCCAAAGATAAAATACAAAATACAGAATAAAAAAAGAAAAAATAAAACAAATCAAGAATTACAAACAGGACACAAGAGGAAAAAAGTGTAGTTAACACATATAAAATTAACAGTAAACATACAACCTCCACCCTGGTTGAATGCTGATACCCATATCTCAAACAAATCTAATAGGTTCCCCGTTTGCACTACAGGTCTACATATTCTCTTAACAAATATCCCAAGTATACAAATCTATTGTCTGTCAATCAAGTTGATCCAATACCTGTTCACTGTAAGAAAGCTGTTAAGTGGTAACCCCCCCCCAAAAAAAATTTTTTGATTAAACTTCAAAGCCCTCTGTTAAGGCCATTGTTATATTTAACTCACAGAAACTCCACAAACGGCTTCTTATAATGATCTTATTTATTATTTATTGGCCCAGTAATGGCACTCACCTCCGCATATCAGGCAGATAGCACTGAGGAGTCCTGTTTCAGCATCATCCATCTCAAGTGGCAGCAACTGGTTGGCAAAGGCAAAGACCAGGTCGGTGAGGGGCCCAAAGCCTGCATTATGCATCTGAGTGCGGTTGAGTGTCAGGCCATCAGAAAAGGTCATGGTGTCCTGCTCTGGGGTGTAGCGTGTGCATATCCGAAGGATCTATAATGAAAAGTACATTAGAAGTATGCATCACAGTTGTTCCCTGTTCTATGTTCTACCTGTAACATTGACCACATTCAATGTGTACTATATTACTATGAAACTCAGCTGCAGGACTTGCACTATTGTTAGCTAGAGTAAGGCAACTGCTTCAAGTGGCAAATCTCTGGGAAGACACAATAGCTATCTCTCAAAAAATTCTAACATATCGGCCATTCTGTTCTGCTGGACACTGCTGTGCATGACCCAAGACCTGTCCTGAGCTCCTAAACTAGCCTATCACCATAAGTATGATGGACAACACTTTTCCTTTCTAGCGTTTTCCCACAAGTATAGGGTCCACTTTTTGGGATCAACCAAATGTTAATCCATTGATTGAGACAGGAATTGACCAACCGGCTTGTTGCCCAAGGCTGACATTATGGTCCGAGGGAAAGTGACTGACCTAAAGTCACCCAGTCAGCTTTCATGCCTAAGATGAGACTAGAACTCACAGTCTCCTGATTTCTAAGCTGGTGCCTTGACCACTAGACCAAACTAGTTCTCCAAATAATAGACAGCACTATCTTACCACAATTGAGTGATTATGTATGTAAGAAATGGAGATAGAGTACCACCGTATCTTTCTCTTTAAACCTTGGGCTGATCCTGTGCAAATATGGCTTGTGTGCTTCCTCACAGAGAGCAGCAACCAGACACCTTAAGGATCCACTAACTCCTACCACTCCATGATTCTACACAATTCCTCATTTTTCTTATTGCTGACCCCTGTTTGAAAAGAAAAAGGACCACACACTCACCAAGATGTCGAGGCAGGCAGCTTTGAGGAGCGTGATCTGGTCAGCAATTGGGAGTGTGGTAAAGCCTGGCAACTGCTTGGCAAATTCAACCGTCTTGATGATGCACTTTGTGGACAATTCACTGAATTTGTCCCACAGATCGATGTCGAGAGATACCCGCTGATCTGAACTATTGTTCTATTGGAGAGAGAGGAACAGAAAGGGAATTGCATTTGTCAAACAAGAGTGGCTGAATTTGTTTTACAGCAGTAAATGCATATGTTTGAATCCAGAGTTTATCAGCTTCTTTGTGTGATATGAGAAAGTGAATACCTTCTTTTGATGGTTTCCTGGTTTTATTTTGGTCTGTTTTATACCCAGACCAGTGCAAGACAAAAACAATTAAAAAGGAGAGAAAGCAGACAAGGAATTGGCTAAACAGGGCACAGTTATCTAAAATACTGACTTGAGTTTGTTCAGTGAGCTATGTCTACAATAAAGCAAGGTTTAACATGATGTATGAATCCAACAATTCAGAATTCTTCTTTTCTTGAAGTGGAAGTTTTGAAAAATGTTCCCCATGTCATTTCTTCTGGTCCATCTTGGGTTATTTTGTCTTCTCATGGAGTAAACAGCTTTTCATTTCAATCATCCAAAGCTTCCTGTAGTCTTCTTTTGGCTCTAACATAACTAATTCTTATATATTAAAAATGAAGTTAGAAACTGTAATAAAAATAATCCTTAGTAACATGGGAATTGTTAAGCCAAATCTACCAAAGAAAACCAAGGAACTCTGCTTTTACTTTCAAAAAACAACTGTGTTGAATGCCATCTTGGGTAGATTCTATACCAGCTAAATGAAAGGACAAGGTGCTTTTTGTCCTTATTGCTAAATAAATGATCTTTAAAAATATGGAAAATTGCCTGATGAAAACCAAGAAAGCTAGATAGACAGTCTAGCCTAAATAGTAGCATCAGATTGCATTTTTTACCATTTTCCTTTTTATAACTTTTAATAAAAATGTCACATATATACTAGCAATAGATTATATTTAGTAAACTGCACTACCCTTGAAAGAAGGGTTTTGTTCTTTATACATTACATTAAACTTGAGATAATTAAAATTGTATTAGCCTAATAAACACCAAAAATTAATGAAACATGTTTGACTGCTTTTTTTACACATTTATCTAGTTCATCACCCCACAGATGTGTCTAATGGCTATTTGTTTTATATGGATTTATATATTATTACTTGTTCTAAAGTAGCCATTAGGCTATCTGGTTGTAATATGAGTTAAGTGAACTTTGTCCTTTTCTGCTTTTGGCTATTACATATTTCAACTCACGGTTGACTCTAGACATTTTGGTGCTCCAGCAAAGTCATATTCTGGAGCCCCCTAGGTGACTGCGTAGGCCAGTGGTGGCGAACCTATGGCACGAGTGCCAGAGGCGGCACTCGGAGCCCTCTCTGTGGGCACACGTGCTGTTGTCCCAGCCCCGCCTCCCCCCACGGCCCCCTCCACACCAGCAGCCCCCCTCGGAGGAAAGTCGCCCCAAGGCACGGCCCACCTGGAGCAGCGCAGCCAAGGACATGGCAGCCGGGCAATGGAGACAAGACTCCGCCCTTGCGCCCCGTCGCAAACAGATAATGCTGTGGGGCACAGATGGAGGGCATGGCCGCCATGGTGCTACTGGGCCGCCTGGGCAATCTGCGGCGGGCCGTGGAGGTGGCGGGTGGCCCTGCGGGTGGGTGGGGCAGTTTTTGAGCACTCGGTGTCTAAAAGGTTCGCCATCACTGGCCTAGGCCTATAACCACACCTGCTCAATTTGTTCAATATATGAAAAACTTATAGGATTAAATTATGAAACAAGCATGGGCAAAAATAAAAAATATATCTGGGTGGTATACTATGGCTTCTTTAAGGGAGCAGAATTAAGATGATTAGCTATCAGTCCCATCCTTGGTCTTTCCCTAGATCACTTGATGCTTCTGCTGCAATGATTGCTTATACCAGGGGTCGGCAACCTTAAACACTCAAAGAGCCACTTGGACCCATTTCCCACAGAAAAGAAAACACTGGGAGCTGCACTGGGAGGGAGGGGGCTTGATTGAAGAGTTTAATTAAAAAGAAATAGAGGGTGCTGTGCATGAGTTCTCTCTCTCTCTCTCCCTCTCTTTTTTTCTCTCTCTCTCCCTCTCTTTCTCTCCCTCTCCCTCTCTTTCTCTCCCTCTTTCCCTCTCTCTCCCCTCTTTTTCCTCTCCCTCTCTCTCCCTCTCTCTCTCTCTTTCTCTCCCTCCCTCTGTCTCTCTCTCTCCCCCTCTCTCTCTTTCTCTCTCTCTCTCGCCCCCTCTCTCTCCCTCTCTCCGATCTTCTGCTCACCTGGCAAGCTGGCTTCACGCTGTTCTCGGACAAGCTGACACACATTCTTATTGGGCTGGCTCTCTCCTGCCATTGGTCTGACAGTCCTCTTCCCCCACTCAGTGTGAGTGTGTGTGTGAGAGAGAGAGAGAAAGAGAGAGCGAGAGCTGCTGCTTGCAGCTTTCTGCTGCTTCCTGCTTCCTGCAGAGACGCAGCAAAGGAGGAGCCCCGCCCAATAAGCTTGTCAGCTTGGAGAACAGCGTGAGGCCACTCTCTTTTTTACACACACACACACACACACACACACACAGAGAGAGAAAGAGAGAGAGAGAGAGAGAGAGAGAGAGAGAGAAGGGAAGTGCCTCTCTCTGTCTCTGTCTCTCTCTCTCTGCAAATGGCGGAGGAGGCTGGGAGCCGCAGGAGAAGGCTCAAAGAGCCACATGCGGCTCCGGAGCCGTGGGTTGCCGACCCGTGGCTTATACCCTTGTTCAGAACATCCAATACTTTGAATTCTGAAGCACCTATTTACAAATTGCAAAAGGATCCTCTAATGGGTGCTGAAGGTTTGAGTGACAGGTGCTAAGACGCCAATTCATGTGGAGGACTCTGAGTTAGAATTGTTCTGCTGAGCTTTCCCACTTAGTTTCCTTTGGCCTGTATCTTGGCTGTCACTCACTGTGGTGTACTTGCCCAACTGGCAGAGGGCAGGGAAAGTCTCCTGATGAGCCTTGCGCACTTTCTCAATGAGATCCTCCACTTCAGGTGTAATGAAGTAGCTCTCTGAACATTCCTGCTTTGGAGTCTCTTTCTTCTTGTTGTTCCTATCATTCCGGACAGCTGCAGGGGGAAGCAAAGGGACAATAAACAATCAAAAGCTTCAATGAGCAACCAACCCACTCCTCATCCAGATCTATACAAATGATAATAATATAGTTGATTTAATATATAATGGGAATTTCTGGAATCAGATCATCAATTCTGAAAAGAGAATTAGTGATGCTAACAAGAACTGGTTTAAGGAAGGAATACAGTACAGGTGATCTGACAAAAGGAAGCTGTGTCCTGCCTTTTTGCATATGGCACCAGTACAGAAAATACAATTTTCCTTTTGAAAAGGATGCATATTTCCGACTTTGTTTCTGATTGCCAATCTTCTGTGAATATCATCCCACCTCCCTACCTTTATTTTTATTATATAGTTAAAGAACCTCAAATAAATAAAATAACTATTACTAGTGGTGCTTCCTGGCCCAAATGGAACTGATTTCATTTAAACTTCTAAAACTAAAGAGATGCCAAAAGATAGTGCTGCATTTCCCAACCTGGTGCTCTCCAGATGGAATAAAAATGCTTGTCCTTAACCATAACAGGCCATATTGGCTGGAGACTATGGAGGTTGTAGAGTAACAAATCTACTCAATATCAAGTTAGGGGAAGGCAGAAATACTGTAGAACAGGGGTGTCAAACTTGCAACTTCACGTGATGTGTCGCGACTTTTTTCCCATTTTTTTCCATTTTTTTCCATTGCCGGCAATGGGGCGGGCACGGTTTCACCATGACGCATCCGGCCCGCGGGCTGGCAGTTTGACACCCCTGCTGTAGAGGAATACCATTCTGGGTGGCTAATGATGGATCTAAGTTTCACCAGAATGTCAGATTGTTTTTGTTTGTGTGCTTGCTTTTTTCTATGATCTAACTGTGGGCTTATGTCACAGGCTGTTGACAAAAATTCTAATTGCTCAGGTGCATGCATCTATCTTCACATTATTACACATGGAAAATCCTGCTTTGGTAAGGAAAATCTAAACAGGAGACCTGAGACAAGAAAGGAAAACTAAGGTGTTAGTTATTAAAGTGATTGTGCTTTTATTATTTTTATATCACCTGCATAATAAATAAGTAACTGCTGGAAAAGAATACAGAGGTACTATCCAGGTAGTTGGAAATCTTTAAAAATTGATTGGAAAAGAGAACAAAATTGGCCAGAGCAATCACCTGAAAAGTGTACACAGACAAAGGAAAGAGAAAGAAGAGCAACACAGATGCTGAGTTAAGAAGAAGAGGGACTAAATGCATTACAAGAAGATACTGAAATGGAGATTTAAATTATGCATTTAAAAGGGAATATTGAAAGGAGAAGTCCCAGGCCAATTGTGCATTCATAGAATCTGAATGCTGGTTGATTAGAAATTTTAAAATAATTTCCCATATTGTGTAGACGCAAGCTTAGAAAAGTAAGGGTAGAACAAAGCATATAAAACAAAAAACCAGGACAAAATACATTATGTCTATACAACAGAAGGAGCATCCAGCCAGAGAGAAAAAAGTAATGGAGATTTTTTTTAAATCTCCATCTTCTCTGGATGCAAGAATCAGACTTGGGGAATACAAGACTAAAGCAGATCTTCTTTCTATCATGCAGCAGATAATCCCTGGAACTGTTGGTTCCCAAGAACCTAAAGACCAATGTCAGAAGGCTGCAGCCCAACCCATAAAAAAACAAACCCTGCTTTCTCTACTCAGTCACCTCTTCCAGATGACCTAAATGCCTTCTAGCTCAAATAGCAGCTCATCTTTCATTAGCTCCAAACCAATACATACCACCATGTGCCCCAACTAATACTGTAAACATGACATATGTATACGCATGTGCACATATACAGTATGCTCAAACTAAAGCTGAAGCAGTAAAAAAGTCTCAAAGATAAATATAATCTTATCCAGTTCAGTGAATTTCTTTACTCCCACAATATTTTTGAATTATCCTGATTCCTTGTTGAGTTCCAAATTGCCAAAAGTAGAACTTGAAAAATAATGAAAATTATTATATTGATCATAAGAAAATGAAACAAGAACTCAAATATATAAGTTTAAGAACAATTTAAATGTGCCTTCTAAGTATTAACACAAAAGCCAACAAACATCAATAAAAGCATTCCAATGAACACTGAAATTTTAAGAAGCCACTGCAATGCCAAATAAGTCTTTGATATGCCTCCAGTGGATAAAGGTATTCTAGGATGTGAGCACTACCAGATGGAATGTACCTTGTGCTTCTTATCACAATTGATAGTCACATTCTCCAGAGGAGATCAAAGGGATCCAGGATGAAGGAGAATGGAAGGTCTTCCTAAAAGTACACAGGCTCCAAAATTCAGCCTAGAAACAGATCAATACAGTTGGCCAGAATATGAGTTTGCTGTAGATTGATCATGCCAGGAGGCACGAATCAAAACTGAAGGTTAAAAGCAACAGCTCTCAAGCCTTTTTCCAAGGTCTTCCCCACATATTACAGCAATCAAAATACACAGTAACCAAAGGACTGAGGAAATATTTCTTGTTGTTAGGGGATAGTTTTGTGCTGTTTGTTTTATTGAATGTATTTTTATTGGTCAATGATCAAAATAAAGTTTTTCTGTCTGTCTATCAGAAAGAAGTGAGTACTTCCAGTTCATTATAGCTACCTGATAATTCAGCAGCAAAGTGGGTCCAAGAAAAAAAAAATTGCAACTCTTTGAAGGGGGGGGGGGTATTCCAATTAGGGGAAAAATGGACCAACAACCCTCCGACTTTAAAGTAAGTGAAGCTACAAGTTCCAATAGACAGAAGAAATTCAGGCAGCAGCTCCTAAAATAATGGAAATATACTAAATCAATCTATAGAAAAAAGTACTAAGGTCTGTTGGCTGCAAAAAAAAAAAAGAATAGGCAGGTGTAGCAGATTTGAGATACTGCTTTTTTGCATGCTACATTTATGGAAGCATTACAAAGCCTTGTGTTTGTTATTGTTTTGCTTGTGGTGTTTATAAAGAATCCGGGGTGTATGGGGTGTTCAGGGAGGGGTAGCACCTCTGGTGGAGGGCATGTCGTGCCCTTTTTTTAGGGCAGCTCGTACACCTTTGGTCCCCACCTGACACTCAGCTCTCACCTGTGAGCTGTAGCTGTAACATGCGCAGCGGCCACACCCTGGGCAACAGCTTCGACACGCTGGCCAAACCAGGTTGAGAGTAGCCATTGTGTCTTTGACATTCGGTGAGCAAGGGATTTGTCTATCCCAAGCATGTGAAGACAGACTCTGGCGGATTGAGCGTATGAGACCTATTAAAATAGGACCAACGATCATGAAGGCAGTTTCTGCAAGCGACGTGGTACGCTGAGAGCACGGCAAGACACGAAAGATGCCCTGGTCAACCACTGCGCCCAGCCCATCTCCAACTGTCTCGACTTTTGTCCTGCCATTGGAACAAGATGGAATCTGGGAAGAGAGAGTGAGGCTGACTATGTGCACCTCTCCCTCACTTTAATCCAATCCACGCGCAAGTCTTGACATCTTGACTTTCCCTAACTCCCACAAATCTTAAAGTCCTATGGCGATAGGCGAGCGGTGAAGCAGCAGGTGTGGAATCACTGGGAGCTGTGGATGCGGACCTGCACACAGGCGGCTCAGGTCTAATGGTCACTTCTTGCTGATGAAGCAACAGCTGGATTCGGCGTCTATCTGAGTGACTGAGCAGCCCTTTTTAGGACCACACTGCTCACCTCCATAGTATGAGGAAGGGGCTAGAAAATGTGCCCTAAACATTGTTGCTTCTTTTAAATCCTGTCCAGCCTACCGCGGTTGGAGGGGATCCCACTTCATGCGGTTGAAATACAAAACTTAAGACGAAACACAAGGTGTTACCACTTATCATTGGTACATGGAACGTACGTACGCTTCAAGACAACCCATCAGCAGATCGCCCAGAAAGAAGAACAGCTCTGGTAGCCAGAGAGCTTGCAAGATTTAACATTGACATTGCGGCCCTGTGTGAAACTCGTCTAGCCAATGAAGGTCAGCTCACAGA